AAATATTACAGAAAAGTTTATTTGTGTTTCAATAAAAAGACTATTGTTTTAGAACAGGCAGCTAACAGCAACTGTGCAGTTAATGGTTCTTCGTGGATAAATTTTAAAAGAAGCTACTGCCTGTCCTGAAATTCCTTTTCCTTTTTATAAAAAAAGAACTATTAAAAATGATTGACAAATTTTGAGTTAAAAAACTGTTAAAAAATTCTCTATATTTAATTTCAACTTTATAATAGATTACAGGAAGATGCTCATGAAACAAATACAACATTTGTTTCAGTACATGTCTTTAAATGATAGACTTATAAGTATGTAAACAGCTATTATAATAAAAAGTTCCCAAACGCTGCCTGTAAGAAATCAGGCAAATTTTACCATAAGCAAAAAACCATCCCAAGCCTTCCAGAGTTTTCACAGCTGCACCGGCACGGCAGTCAACTACCAAACCAAACACACAGACACAAATGCACAACTTTGAATGTTCGCTGCACCATAGGCCAAAAAAAAAAAAAGAAAGAAAGAAAAGAAAGAGAGAAAGGGAAAGTATATGGAATCACACAGTCAATATAATTTAAGGGGAAGTACGTCATAATAGGCTTTGTGGTGCTCAATGTTGAAAAGCAGCCCTGCCGTTGGCTTGGTTCTGCGGACGCCCCAGACTTTCACAAATGGGAACCCGGCCTGGAGCCTCACACGCCGCCATGGGGTGGCGCTGTTCACAACTCGCTGCAAATAAGTGGCCTTCGGGGTGGCCTCGACAGGAGGACGGCATTGTTGTTGATGTAGACGGAGCACAACTTCTTCAGCAAACTCAGCAAGAATTGTTAAGGGGCAAAAAGGAACTCTGAATTTTAAAAAAATAGAAAAATGAAAACACAAAATCCTACCAAGTAAAAGCCCTGCGCCAGCGACTAGAATCCACACACCGCAGCCCGTCTGAGACCCTGCAGAAAACAGCCCTCGCTTGCTTATCAGAGGTGCACGTCAAATGCAATAGCTTACCAATATCTTCTTGGGAGGAAGCCAAAAAGAAACAGGAAAGCCCACATTAAGAAAAGTTTCTCTTTCCTAAACGTGTTTTCCTGAAGCTGAACTTGAGGGGAGCGGGGCCTGTGAGCAAACACTTCAGTCTTCCTCGTCGTTTTCGTACTCCTCGTCCTCGTCGTCATCCTCCCCGACGTAGGACACGGGAGTCTCCACCCTGGACCCGCTGTACTGAGACCCGCTGGAGCTCGTGGCCAGCATCCCGTCCGCACCGTTGGTCAAGTCACTGCGAGGACAGGAAATGACACAAGGGCATCAGCGACCCATATCTGCCGCCCGTGCCAACGACAGGCATGCATCTCTGAGAGGTTTGGGGAGTTTCAGTTATACAAACAAAAGCAGAGAGTGTCACCCATCCACAACACCGAGTCCCCACACTGTTACTAGTTCCACCCCTCTCATACCCTCTCCCACACAACTTCGTCCTCTTGAATATAACCAAGGCGACGAGGGGAAATTGGCAAGGCCACGATACTGCACCCCCCCCCCCCCCCCCCGATTGATCATTACATCAGAAACAGAGTCCCAAAGCTATAAACTAAAAGCCATTAGATCCTCTTTCCAGTCCTTTTACTTATGAACTCTTTAATCTCCAGGGAGGCAGAAAACAATTAGGAAAAAGAGGCCCCAAGGATGGCATGGGACCCTCCAAAGCAAGGCTCCCTGGACAGCAGCGTGGGGCAGTGTGCCCATTATGTGTTGTGCACCTGTGATGGTGGGTGTGTGCATGTATATGCACGTATGTGTGCATGCATGTGTAAATCACAACCTTAGGCCCCAACCTCAGCTCCTCTGGTGTCTACAGAGAGCCCAGGAAGCTGAGCTATGACAGGGGAGTCTCATGCAGACACTCTCTCTGAAATCTATGCTTCCAGAGAGGTTCCAAGGACCCCCAGCCTTCTACAGTTTTATAAAATGGCGTTTGCTGAAAGTCAGTGGAGCTGGCCCTAGGCAGGGACCAAGGACCCAAAAGGGTAGGGGGAGCAGCTGGGCTGAACAGCCTTCCACATGGTCCTTTGGGGGAAGGGCCGGGGGGAAAGAGAGTCTGCATTATGTTCCTGGGAGCCTCAACCAGGAACATGTGAAAATCTGGTGTCACAACTAAGGGGTGCAGGTATTGGCATCTGAAGCCAAAGATGCTACCAAACAGCCCCTAAGACACAGGGGGTGCCCACAAAGAGTTGTCTGGCCCAAAATGTCAATAGTGCCACAAACGGCCTAAAATGGTGAGAGGCTGTAAGAGCTGGGATCCTGGTGAAAGACTCCTGGGTTCAGTCACCACCCAGCATCCCAGCACAAAGCAAGTCAGACACCAAGGGTTAGTTACCATCCTGGGGCACCAACAGGTGATGGCCACGCCAGCCACGCAGAGGGACAAATGCACAAATCCACCATGAATTGTGACATACTCCGGTTTTGGTCAAAAGTCATTTCAAGCCTGGCTGGCATGGCTTAGTGGTTGAGCATCGAACTATGAACCAGGTCATGGTTTGATTCCCAATGCCTGGGTTGGGGATGCTTGGGTTGCAGGCTTGATCCCCAGTGTGGGGTGTGCAGCAGGCAGCTAATCAATGATTCTCTCTCATCATTGATGTTTCTATCTCTCTCTCCCTCTTCCTTCCTCTCTGAAATCAATAAAAATATTTTTTAAAGAAAATAGCTCTACTTCTTTTTAAAAAAAAAAGTCATTTCAATTTTGTAGTATTTGAGTTGAGCAGCAAGAAAAGGATCCCAAGAAACATCAAGTATTGAAAGGATGCCAATCTAGAATTTAAAATCTGATCCAGATCATGCAAATCCTAGCCTCCAAGGATGCTTCCTGTAACTAACTCCAAGTTGCCCCAGAAGTGGCACAGAAAACCCGATTGAAGATACCAGAGCATAAACACTCCATCAAAAAATTATTAGACTTAATAAATGAATTCAACAATGTTGCAGGATACAAAATTAACGCCAAGAAATCTATGGCATTTCTATACACGAATAATGAATTTACAGAAAGAGAGACTAAAAAAGCAATCCCATTTACCATCGCACCAAAAAAATTAAGATACCTAGGAATAAACTTGACTAAGGAGGTAAAAGACCTGTACTCAAAAACTACAGGACACTGAAAAAAGAGATAGAGGAAGACATAAATAGATGGAAGAACATACCGTGTTCATGGATTGGTAGAATCAACATCATCAAGATGTCCATACTACCCAAAGCAATCTATAGAATTCAATGCACTCCCCATTAAAATACCAACGGCATATTTCACAGACCTAGAACAAACTTTCCAAAAATTCATCTGGAATAAAAAAAGAACCCAAATAGCTGCAGCGATCCTGAGAAAGAAGAACAAAGTAGGTGGGATCTCAATACCAGATATCAAGCTGTATTACAAAGCCACTGTTCTCAAAACAGCCTGGTATTGGCACAAGAACAGACATATAGATCAGTGGAATAGAATTGAGAACCCAGAAATCGACTCAAATGCTCAATTAATATTCGACAAAAGAGGCATGAACATACAATGGAGTCAAGACAGTTCCTTCAATAAATTGTGTTGGGAAAATTGGACAGTTACATGCAAAAAAATGAAACTAGATCACCAACTTACACCATACGCAAAAATAAACTCAAAATGGATAAAGGACTTAAACATAAGATGGGAAACCATAAAAATCTTAGAAGAGTCCA